AGCCATAGGAACTGGTTACTGAACGAAATTAGAGCGCACCAAACGATTATTGGATGTTATCTTAACAACTCCAAGAAAGAAATTCTCCTATAGGAGAAAAAGTTCTAAGCGTTGGACACAAAATCCTTGACAACCCACAACTGAAGAGATCATCGGAGACTGAAGAAATATGTATTGGCTATGTTGAAACCCGAAACTGTTTTGAAGAAAGGTCCAGTTCCAAAAGGTTGCGGGAGTTAAAGTGAATAGTCTGCGCAAGTGCGTATTACGGCAGTTACTATGACATCACGCCTAAATTTACTGTAGGATTGTATCCGGTGCTCGCCCTGCAATCCAGGGCACATCGTTGTTGGGGAATCCCCAATAGGGGGGGGTCGTATTTGGCCGCCAGGAGAGGGGGTCGTATTTGGGCTGGGAAAAATTTATTTTGATAGTTGATTTTTCTCGCTTCACGGACGTTGTAAAGGGGGAGGGGGTCGTACTTGGTCATTGTTGGGAGGGGGGGGGTCGTATTTACGTTTTGGCGTTGTAGGAGTGGTGGTTGACTTTTGGTGATTTTCCTGTTTCATGCGTACCGCCGCTCGACAGCAAAATTTTTGGGGAAAAGTAGGGAAGTTTCGGGAATTTGGAAAACTGTGGCAGGAAGTTGGGCAAAATCTGAAATTGGTAGAGAGGGGGCGTTTTGTCTCACGAGTTTCCCTGTTTCACTGTTTCGCTGTGCTATTTACCCCCCGCCCTCCCACCCCGCTCGACGGCTCGATTCGATGAGGAGGAACAGAGGGCCGGAGGGGGGTCGTACCACCCCCCCCCAACCAAAAAAAGGAGGGGTGGAGGTCGTACAGACTCGACTGGAATCCCCAACCAATGATGTGCCCTGCTGCAACCTCGGAGAAGTGTAGAAATCCCTTTGAACTCTTATAAAAGGAGAGCATATCAAATCAAAACTATTTCAGTGGATTCTTCGATTTCCTTAAACAGTTGCGCCGCACCAACTATTGGCAGTGGTATTCTTACTGTAGAGCACTCCGCTAATCCTCTTCAGACCAAGCGAATCGTCGTGAGAAACATGTTCCGCACAGCGGCGAGGCAAACGTTTGTTTAGGAAAGGATGAGCGAAAAGAATCCTTGAAGCTGGCAGACGTCAATACTGCACTGAACGGCTACGGAGCTTCTTTGGCTTCTCACAGAGCTAGGAATGGTGACGCGAACGGAGTGGTGACTTACTTGGCGGAGAAGTCTTCTTCATATTACCCCACGTTCCTGGGGAAATAAGTACTCCCATCAGAAAAAGTCAGGGGAGATCAGACACGGTGGCCATTGTGAATGGATCACTCAGTAATTTAATTCGTCGCTAGGTACAATATCGGTTGTAGTACCGTCTTGTACGACCTCAAATTGTGAAACCTGTGCGACTGGCAGAAGGCGACTGCACCATCTCAAGTCAGGAGTGGTCTACAAGATTACATGTTGCAGGGGTGAGCCTTATAAGAAGCTTCGCGCAAGATCTACGTGATATTAAGGAGCTCAGGAAGGTAAGAGAAGGCCACGTTTGTCTACTGCCTTGGCAGTCCAAAGGTTCATATCCATGTCGGGGACGATTCTGAAGTCGAGCTCAGCTGGCGCAGAATCGCAAATATCCGCATGGAAAACCCTCGGGGTCTTTTAAAGGCAGTTGGCACGATAAATCGCTATACAGGTGTAGGATTTGTACAACTGGCTTAACAGAATTCCGTGACCTCGGACAGGCGCTGCGTGAAGCCTTTTCCAAGGAGGGTACCTCTATAACGCCCTATTGAGCAACAACTTTACGTCCCAAACGCCTTCCTTGCCCGCCCGCCCACAAACGGACGACCGTTTCTGACGCTCGTATTCATTCATTTGCTGAGCAAATTATGAAGCAAAGGGATTGGTATGAAGCGGCGGTGATGCTGCATGCATATATGGGTACACATATGCAGCCGTATCTTCGGTAGCGGTGATTGGCAAGATGCGTACGGGAAACTCGTCCGAAATCGATTTACAAGTCACTGAGAACGGAGGCTTTTTCTTCGCCGGATTTTGACCGTTTCACTCCGTTCTTTCGCCATTTCCCCACTATACAGCGCCCTACTAGCATTTTAGGCTAAGTAGGAAACCATCGTGCCAACTGCCTTTAAGTTCAGGTCAGCAATCGAGAAATGAACGGGAGAGAGAAATGCGTCACAATAAGACGAGAGCTGAGACTGTATAAGGGTGGCCTTTCAATAGTGACCTGGACTGGTAGCAGAAGCGGTCTTAGTGCTGGCTTTGTGATCTCGGCCTGACTGTGTTGCAGTGAGTGAACTTTCTTAGGCACTGCTCACAGTCTGCGACCCTGACGAAACAGCGGTTCGGCGAAAAGCAATAAATACGTATTGATCGGAGAATCGCCAACCGCTCTGGAGAAACGCCGCCGCGGTTCGGCGAAAAGCAATAGATGCGTATCGATTTCGCTGGCTCCGCCCTAGAGAAAAACGCCAGGGCGGTCGGGCTAGCGTTTTTCGCCCAACCGCTTCGCCGAACCGCCCGTCGATACGTATCAAAACCATTTCGCGCAACCGCCAGACTCTTCGCCCAACCAATAGATACACATCAAAAGCTTTTCGCGGTTCTTTCTAGAAAACGCTGGGTCGCGGACTGTGAACACTTCCTTATTACGATCAGATGGTGATCTGCATCGATCCGCGCACTTCAGCAGGGTTGTAGAGTGGAGGTCGTGAACTGCTTCGACCCCTTAGGCTCTGTAGAAGGCGAGAGGTCAATCTATCCATAAAGTGCGTCACAGCGTCAGCTTAGCGTTTTTTCCAGCACGTGATAGGTGCTGAGGTGGGGACATCAATGGAGGGTGACAGAAAGTGACAAGTGGTAGGGGCTGATAAGGAACGTTACCGTCGTGGTCGTTGTACAAGGTGGAGAGCTTTTACACTACCAAATTACAAAGATTTAGTGGTAGTTACTCTGATGACGGGTTACACGTAATTATATGAATTGGATAATAATAGTTAAGTAGCCACCTTCGCTACATTTCTTGTCACTCCTCACCATTATACTGCCAAGTGTTACAGGATCACTTTGGACACTCTCCGCTAGCCATCACGATGACAAAAGAATTAAAATCAGCCACAAAATTCAGAGTGGAGATATCGTGTGGGTCAGATATGGTTCCATGTGTGGGTGCGCAACACCGTGCGTTAGCCCAACTGGTAAATGATGACGGAGAATAAGGAGAAGAACGTAGCACTTTGAAAACGGAGTTAAGAGAAGGTGTGACAAAAATCCTGTCTGATTCGGGTAGCAGGATGCTGAGAGGTGGGCTCTATTAAAACTTGTAGTTCAAGGTGAAACTGTATAAGCCCCCAAGTGGATTCTGGCCCTTGCCACGTGCGGAGTCAACGGGTCCGCAGCTGCAATACCGTGCCACTTTATCTTCTCAGGAACAGGACTGGAAGATTAGTAGGACCGCCAGGTTGACGCACGGCCAGCCACTTTCCTAACCATCGCTAAACGCGCTAGTAGTCGACGCCCTCTTATTTCTGGTTGTTTTCTACCGCTGGATTCGTGTTTCGCTGCAGAATCCTTGTGTCGATATAATGAGGATGCATTGAGGATATTGGGGGCGGTGTATGTGGACGTCACCCGGGTATCACTAGCACCTTCCTGTCACCTTTCCGTGCACTTTTGTGCGAAGAAGGTGGCCTGCTGTTGCAGCTCGGGACCCATACACCTCGCTATGTTGAGGAACAGGACCTGCGGTGGTGGAAGCACTTTCCCTTCAATAATTCGCTGAATGACTGATGCTTACCGAGATGAAACCAGGAGAAAAACCTTTCTGATGAAGAGTGTGTCGCGCTAGTCAAATACTTATACAGTTGCGCAAAAACGTTTTTTGCAATCCAAAATCGCAATTTTGAGCAGCTTCAGGTGCCACTGTGTTTGAAAGAGGGCATGTGGAAGTGAACTTCCCCTCACGACGGTAAACGTTGCTTCATACTCAGACCACCCTAATGCGCGCACGGCCTCAGAGCGGATCAGTGGCCTCAGTTTCTGTAGCACTCAGCTCTACTGGGTATTCCTTGATTTGAGCATGAAAATGCTTTTACAGACATGCAGGATCTGCATTGCAGTTTACATGTAGGTGAAGAACTGATTTCGGCCTTTCTGGAAGTCTTGAAGTGCTTGCAATTAGTCATCAGCACAGAATGCAACAATCAAATGTTTGTTCCCCGTTTCTCTGGGTTCAAGAACAATTCAAAATGGAGCACTCGTTGATATCCTTAAGGGTTTTTGTAGTCAACGTCGGGGAAGGCTGAGGGCTTCTCTCAACTGGAATGGCTACCATCAGCACTAAACGCTAACAATAAGCTGTTGCTATAGTCACTCATTAAAACTTCAAAACCGCCAAAAACTTCGCTCTACTTGTTCAACTTTTCTCTCTACTGTGATTACATGTAAGATACTCTCCAGAAGAGTACGTCATGCAACTTGTCGTCGAAAAATGTCAGAACCTAGAGCAAATCCTTGCGCCATAGGACCCGAGTTCCAAATGTGCATGTATCGACTTGAATAAGACTTCATCGGTCGAAATAACACTATCACTATTAACTACTACTACTGCAACACACTACCTCCAACGAGGTCTACACGCTTGTTTACAAATCCATAGATCAAGAGGCCATGAAATCGGTGAGTACCGTTGCAGCATCATGTTGGTTTTTGAAGGATTTCTCTTTGAGGAAGCTTTCAGATGTTTGAAGAATGGGTTGAGGCAGGGAGGGGGCACGGGGCGGCGGAGGAGGGGACGAGGGGAGAAGGAGGAGTGGGTGGGTAAGAGTGAAGATGCCACATGCAGGAAAATATCATGGCGTAGCGTGTTCG